TTACATAAATACTATCTGCGGAGCAGTGCACTTTGTGCCCGAAAAATGTTATCCAGTTAAGATCGTGACATTTTGTCACGGATTTTGCATCACATAATGATGATGTTATTGTCTTTTCAGATTCCGTTGAAGTATTCTGATTAACTAAAGATAAGTCTTGATCCTGAGAAACGGAAACTTCATTACTATGTAATAGCTTTTTTCCCTTAATTTTCTGCCTTATCTCATTACTAACCCTTTTCTTATTTTCCGAATCTAAAAAGACATCAATTTCTTTATCTTCTAATAATTTATATTTTCCGGAGCAAGTTTCATTAAGGTTAGATGCATCGGAAATTGTGTTAACTACCTGTTCTGAAGTGTCTAAAGTTACTAAGTCAGTGCTAGTCATGGATTGATCCGCTTCGTGGTGAGTTGAAGAATTTTTTAATCTGCGCATTTTCACCATTTGAGCAACTCTTATTAGATAATGGAGTGGAGTATTCCGGAGATTTCTGCGAAAGCAGGCCTTGTGGGGCTAAATCATTAGTATCCATTCGATTTTGCTTTTCAATATTCTTAACAGCGCGTTTTAATTTTGCAATTTTATTCTTGAGCTCGGCATATTCTGTTTGACTTAACTTTGTAGTCTGTTCTAATTCCACAATTCTAACCTCAAGCTCATTCTTTTCTTTCGCGATCTGTTCCAATTCTGCAATTCTAGCCATAAGTCTGGCATTCTCTTGTTTCAATAAATCTAACTCCGATTTGGTATTTCCCATTGTTTTTTATAAGATACGGATATGTTCAAAAGTTTGTTTATACGTATATGACTGCTCAAACATCTTGTTTTTCATCATCCAAATCACCAGAAAATTATGCGATTCATTATAACAGATTATAACAAAGTAAACGATTTCGCAGAAATTTCACTAACTTCATAATTTATTCAAATACAGTTCCTTTCGCATCTAACGCGATTTTACCGGATATTCCATTAAGAGGTTTCGCCATTTGCTTTTGCACACACACGTTGTACATAGTTACACGGGGGCTATTGCCTATAGAACGGATCAAATATCATGTGTCATAAAATGTCACGTTGAGTGTGTGGCACATATGACACGATCGAAATCATTCGAACGTACGCGTTGTCAGAACTCACTTTGCACGAATTTTTCGCCTAAATGAATCTCCACCCTGATTGTCTCGATGCTCTAAAATACCCTAGTAAGGAAACTGTCTATACACTTTTTTATGCTATTGTTTTATTAGATTAACGTCGTTTTTGAATGTAGCTTTTGGGAGGATACCAACAACCCTTCACTCAGAAAGTTTCTAGACTTTCGACACCTGGAAGGTAATTTGGCTGACTCAGATACGGAGCACTATCGTTACCAATGTGAACTAAATGCTATCAGCAAGTATTACACTGAAGAATCTGAAGTCGGTCAGATAGTTTTGAAGTTGAAAAGTGATTTTGAGGTATTTGTATTTAAAGATTCATTTTTCTTTTCGTGGAAAGCACGACTACTTTGCAGGTGGAATGCTTGCACGGACTACTTTGTGGGTAAAGGAAAGGTGGAATGCTCTGTCCGTAGTAGTTTTTGGGTGGAAGGCTCATATGGACAACTTGTGGGTGGGATGCTCACAAGAAAAAGGGTGGAATGCTCGTCCATAGTTGGTTTTGCGATCATTTAACAGATCTGTGTTTATTTAATGATTTGTATATAAAGCAAAGAAGCTGTCATTTTTTTTCATATAATAATGTTTTTAAGGTGGATAAAAAGTCGAGATCGACG